ATCATGGCTCAGAATCGTTGCTCTACTCACCTTGGCACAGTACCATCCATATATTTCTCCAATGTTAGTATTTTGAATCTTCCAAAGCATTAAATTGAAAACCCTACAGTAGAAGCAAAACTCCAGCAGATCCTGACTCTCAAATGAGAAAGACAAATGTTTCGGCAAATTCACTATCAACTACTCTTCTTGTAGAAGAAAAAAATGCTTTCTCAGGAGTTTGAGAGGTTCTTGCAATTAGACTGTAAAGCAATTTCTAATGATGATGTAATGAGGAAATGTTTTAATATTTCCTCAATTTAGTAAATCCTTTTTTAAAACAATTTTATTTATTTATTCATGAGAGAGAGGCAGAGAGAGAGAGGCAGAGACGTAGGCCGAGGGAGAGCAGGCTCCATGCAAGGAGCCCGATGTGGGACTCGATCCTGGGACTCCGGGACCATGCCCTGAGCCAAAGGCAGATGCTCAACCACTGAGCCACCCAGGTGTCCCAATTTAGTAAATCCTTGTCTTGTTTTTCCTCTGTAGCAACCAATTCAGAACTAGGCATTGTGAAATTGTGACTCAGATTGAGGCAAGACCTCCACCATGATTTTCTGTTAATTTTAGGAACCACATTGGCTCATCCTCAACCTGTCCTTGCTGGCTAACTTGATGGCATGACCCAAGCCCCACTAAACTCAGGGGCCTGAGCCTTTTGTTAACTATGTTCTTCTCAGGTTGGGTTCACTGTATTTTTTATTTACTTTCAAAATTGGGCAAAGTACAAAAAGGCACAATGAGGATCATCTAGATTCCACACATATTCCTCCCCACTCCCCCTGTAATGGGCAGCAATTTATAGGAATATTTCTTCTAATGATCAGGAGCAATTACCCCTGCCAAACAGGACACCTTATTCTCCTGATTGTCTTGTCTTTTCCCTTCTATGCCCCTGAACAACTGGCCAAGATATTCATCACTGCCATGAGCATATATATATTCTCTCTAGATTCACTGCCCATTTCATGGGCACCCTTCCAATTCATAGCCAGTGACAGTTTTAACAATTTAAAGGCCACATTGTGCCAGAAGCTGTGTTCCATCTGCCATCAGGTCTCCTCATTGTCAGCCAGGTGATGAATGATAAGCTCCCAAGTCCCCAATTATCAATTGCTTATTGGACCACTACTAACACCAGTGATCACAGGTTGGTTGTATTTCTGGAAGGAGACAGACACCAAATGGAGTTCAAAAGCCAAATTGCTTACTAGGAATTAACAGCTGTGAAAGGAAGGAGGAAGTCAAATTTGGCAAATGAAAAAGTAAATTGCAAGGGAGAGCTGACGTAATCTTACTAACCCTGCAGGGAGCACTTGAGTGAGTATAGCTCACCAGAATTAAAATGGCTGGCCTTTTAGTCTTACCTTACTCAGTTAGCAACCTGCTCCCAAGAATAGTGTGACTTTAGACAAAGAGACTCCCATTGTGGCCAACCAGGAAGGAACTGACAGCTGTAGATGGTGGCAAAACACATTCCCTTCAGCTGGTCAGTAAGCTCTTCTTTGAAGGAAATCCAGTGGTGCATACATGCTTCTGTCATGGTTGGTGAGCAGAGAAAGGTTTCTGTTGAGAAAAGGAAGAGAAGGGAATGTTTAGGGAACATAGAATTTTTTTTTCATGAATTGAAAGTTCAAGAGGATAAAATCAAGGATCTAGGAGAAATAATGGAGTAGAAATTTGGGTCAGGTCAAAGAAGTTCAGAGCATTATGGGTATTAGAATACAGGAGAGTATAGATACACAGAGATTTATGGTTTGGAAGGTGATGAGGAAAATAGGATCGAGGAATATTGTCTACTGCCCATAGTTTAAGCCATCTAGCCTCACAGATTTTAATTGCAGCATTAAAGGGAGGTATGTCAACATTAAAGGGAGGAATAGCATGTTCTATTTCCTCCCCATCAAGAGGAAAAATGGTAGCAATAAGCAGCTGTGTATGAGTCCATGATTCTTGGTCCTGCATGATTTTGAAACTCAGGCCTGGGTGCTAATGTTTCTGTGTCCATATTTTAATCCTCTTAGTTAAGAGTTAAGTCTGAGACTTAACAAAGCTGGTCAGAGCTGATGGGATAATGTAGAAAACATTTGCCATTCTCACATATAGCATAAGTTAGCTCTCAGAGCTTAATTTTAACACAGGGTTTAATTTAACATCTCTTAGGTCAGCAACTAATTCATCAGAACTAAGAGGAATAAACAGGTGCCCTCTTCTTTGTAGTAAAAAGTTAGTAGTAAAAGTGTTAGCATGCACTTGTAAGCAGAAGCTGAGACCGCTTGGATATTTGGCATATTGTTTATGGCCTGAAAAGAGGTTTCCCTTGCTCCTTTCAATTGTTAGGATATCAAATATTCTACATAACATGTGTGTATATACTTCTAAGAAATAGTATAGCATTTTATAAATTTCCATTCTTAGTTAATAACCTATCATTTATTCCTATGTCAATAAATATATGTTTAAATTATCACTTTTAATGACTACTTGTATTCCCCTATATGCTTTTTGTCATAATTAACAAGTCTTTTGCATTTGAGCACTTATTATACTATTTGATTCTGTATTAAAAAACAGTTTTTGTGCCCTTGGGGCAGCCTCAAAAAAAAAAAAACAGGTTTTGGTGAATCTCCTAGTCCTTTTATGGCTATGGACTTACACAATTATTTCTTTATATTAAATTCCTAGAAGCAGAGTATGAGTCAGAGAGTCTATATCTTAAGTTACCAGATTGTTCTCCCAGAAAGCCATGTAAATTTATATCACAGTTAAAACCATGTAAGAATGTTTTATACCTTCACCAATACTGTATTCAGTCATTTATTCATCTGTCAATCTCACAGTTGAAAATTGTATCCCCTTTTAGAATGAGGTTGACTACTTTGCCTTGTGTTTATTACAGATTTCTTTTCTCTTTTTTTCTTTTTTGTAAAATTGCCTCGTTGTGTTCTTAGTCCATTTTTCTATATGCATTTTTGTCATTTTTTAAAAAAGCATTTTATATATCAAGGACATTTAGTCTTTGTCTCAATTGATGTATGTTACGTTACCTTTTTTGCCATTTTTTCATGTAAAAGTTTCTATTCTAAGTCAACTTTTTAATTTGAATTTTTCAAATTCAAGTCTAAGTCCTTTCTTACTTCTAGCTGTGACTTTGCTTAAAAAGGCTTGGCACATTCTCATATGAGTAACCAAATAAATTTCTTTCTAGTACTTTTACATTCATTTTTCATAGGTAAAACTTTTAATGTACCTGAAATGTGATTTAGTGCCAGCTGTCAGGAAGGTATCTGAACATACTTATTTCCAGTTAGGTCAGCACTTGACCCTAGCATTTTTAAAAGAATTTATCCTTTCTCTTTGATATGTAGTTGATATGATTCTGGTTTTGAATCTTATATTAATTTATCTCTATATTCCACCCTTAGAATCCTACTGCCTTAATTATTATGGCTATATGATAATTTATACCTTAGAGAAAGAAGAGTTATTAATGTTTTTCTTTTTCATATTGTTTCTTCTTTATTTTGCAAAAATTTTGTAATTTTTAAAAATTATAACTTGAACTAGCTTAAGCAAAAAGCTTTGGGCTCTTAGAATCCAAGAAAGTTTTGGCAACTTTGCTTTAAGAAAAACATAAAAAAAAGAAAGAAAGAAAAACATCAAGGCAGCAAGGCAGTTCTCTTATTAACAAGGAATAGAAATGCCTTTCCTCCCAACTTATGACTCTGCCTCTCTCAACACATCAGGATCCTGTCATGATTCCTATTCTCAAGGTGGGAAATATGGCTGCTGGCAGTTCAGGACTTTTATGTTGGGGCCTTAGCCACCAGATTGAAACTAATCTCAATTTTTGGCGTTGGGTTATTGGAATTTTTTGACAAGAGACACAGTAACTCAGCCTAGCTTAGGTAGCCACTATTTTACATGGTTCATGCAGGAAAGTGCCTTAAAGACTCTTAAATTCTTGGCAGGAAATTTGGTAATGATTTCTGTAATTCAGTAGTAGGTTTGCAAATTATAAATAGTTTTGAAGTTATGGTTAGAATTGTGTTTGGTGAAATATTTTGACAAAGGAAATACAAAATGAGAATGGTTTTGTTTTCTCTTATTTTCATGGTGTAGTAAACATTGCTATTGAGTTTGCTGTTTGAAAAGTGGATCTGCATGAATGGCTTAAAAGCTTGAAATGCATGCTCTGTATTTGTTAGAAAAGAATATTTTTGAACTGTGTAGATTTAGTTTATAACCCAGCAGCTTTTTATGACAATGGGCAGCCATGACTTGGCTGCATCAATCAGGCATCCAGATTCTATCTATAGTAGACAAAACATTCCTTACATAAAAAATTGAAAGATAGAAGGAGGAAATAAAGAAGTCAGCCTTTTAATATTTTATTTTACTCCTATATAATATAATCAAGAAAATTCAGTTTTGTTTAAATTAAGCCAGGGAGTATGCCTTAATCATGATTCTCATTTTTACTGTTCATTCCATGATTCCCTTATCTTCAGCGAGTCCTTTTATGTAGCCATCATAGCATTAATTTATGGTCTAGTTTCTTTTTTATCTTTTTTCTTAAATTATTGAGCTCTCCTCCTAACCTGTCAGCTTCTTTAGGGCAGGGACTTTCTTATTTCTCTGTAAGTACTTAGAAGCTAAACATTGTGTTTAAATTTAAGTTGGTACTCCATAAATGTGTTTTGTAAATTGTTTTATAAATGTGTTTTATAAATATTTGAGTTATAAATAACTCAAAAGATGAAGAGAGTGGGGTACCTGGGTGGATCAGCTGGTTAAGTGTCTGCCTTTAGCACAGGTCATGATCCTGTTGTCTGCTTCTCCCTCTGCCCCTCCCAACCCGCTCATGCTGACTCTCTCTCAAATAAATAAATAAAATCTTAAAAAAAAAAAAAAAAGATGAAGAGAGCATAGAAATGCCAGAATTTATTTATTTTAAATTAAAAAAATATGAAATGCTCATGAACCTGTGTGTCATACTTGCACAGGGGCCATGTTAATTTTCTCTGTATTATTCCTGTTTCAGTATGTGTGCTCCAGAAGCAAGCATGAAATACTAGAATTTAGAGTGGAATAGAAACTAGGTTATTAATTTTTGTATGCACAATAATTATATTTTACATAATTGTATTTCATATGAATTTTCCTTAGATCTTTACTGTTTTCTTTACTGTAGTTCTACCAGTTGTTCATATTCTAGACAAATTATAGATAATATAACTCATATTTTCTTTTTCTATTGAACTGAGACATTTGTTCCTCCTTGAGGTAGTTTTATTGAATTGGAAAACTAAACATGACTTGTTAATTAATAGATGTTACCTATGGGTATTATTTCATAGTAGAAGAAGAGCTTACTAAGATATAATATATAAATAATATAAAATTTGACTACAAATCAAATGAGTAAACAAGTTGAGGCATCTAAAATATTGTGGTGGTCTCAAATACCCTGCAAAAACAAATGTCTTCAAGATTAACAGTATGTGATTTTGAAATGTAGACCCATTTCTGAAGTGAAAATAGATCATCAAAATACACTTTATTTATTTCTAATATTTTGAATGGGGTATCATTTATATACAATGAACTGCTTATGGGTACAGTTTGGTAAGTTTTGACATGTGTATACATCTGTAAAACCATCTGTCATCCCCAAAGTTTGTTCATGCCTGTTAAGAATTCTTTCCTTCTGTCCTTCCCATGCCTAATATTTTATAATATATTATAATTATAATTATATAAATATAATAATAATATGCCCAAGTACCCACATACTTGCTTTTTGTCACTAGTGCTTAGTTTTCATTTTACACAGTTTTATAGAAATAGAATCTTGCAGTAAGTACACTCTTTTATTTGATCTGGCCTTTTTCACCCAGAATTATTATTTTGAGATTTATCCATGTTTCTTATGTATCTCAAGTTCCTTTTTTCTTATTTCTGAGTTTCATTCCATTGTATGGATATACCACCATTGGTTTATCCATTTGCTTCTTTATGGATGTTGGGGCCATTGCCAGTTTTTATCCATTACAAATAAAGTTTCTATGAGCATTCACAGACAGTTATGGAAGCTAAGTGCCAGAAATCAGTTTTACTCAGCTAAAATCAAGGTGTTATCAGAAAATCCTGTTCCTTGTCTTTTCCAGCATCTAGAGCTGAACTTCTTGAATTCTTTGGCGCACGGTCTTTTCCCCTCCTCCATCTTCAAAGCCAGTGGCATAACATCTCTCTCTGACTCTGCTTCTCTCACATGGCTGCCTTATCTTCTATGGTCAAGGCTTCCTCTGCCTTCCTCTTATAAAGAACATGTAATTGCATTTAGGGTCCACCCATATATTCCAGGGTAATCTCCTCATCTCAAAATCCTTAATTTACCTCACATCTACAAAGTTCTTTTCTTTCTTTCTTTTCTTTTCTTTTCTTTTCTTTTTTCTTTTCTTTTCTTTTTTGTTTTTCTTTTTCGTTTTCGTTTTCTTTTTCTTTTTTATGGCCAGAGATTAGGACATAAACTTTGGGAGTGCACAATTCACCTACCGTATCATTTCTTATTTATTTCTTCTTTCTTTGCAAATACTTTCTTCCAGTGTGGCTTGTCTGTTTATCATCCTAAAAGTGTCTTTTGAAGAACAGAAGTTTCTAATTTTGAGCTTAAGGTATTAGTTTTTTTCTTATATGGATCATGCTTTTGGTGTCCTGAGAAATCTTTAACAACCCAAAGTAGTTAAGGTCTTCTCTCTTTTTTTTTTTTCAAGAAGTTTTATGGTTTTAGAAATTTACATTCAAATCTATGATCCATTTTGAGTATTTTTCTTATATGGTACTAAATATGAATCTAAGTGCATTTTCTTGCATGTGAATTTCCAAATATTTGAGCACCTTTTGTTGAAAGCCTATTCTTTCTGCATTGAATTGCCTTTGCAGCTTTGTCAAAAATGATTTGTTTATGTAAGCTTGGGCCTATTTCTGAACAGCTAATTCTACTCCATTGATATAGGTGTCTATCTTGAGGCCAAGGCCACACTACCTTAGATTTATAGCTTTATAATGTGTTTTGAAATCAGGTAGTGTAAGCATTCCAATTTTGTTGTTTCTGAAGCTTTTTGGCTATTTTATGTTGTTTATATATCCAGGTGAATTTTCAATGTTTGTCAAGTCCTAGCCAAAAATAAAAAAACAAAAGGAAAATCCTGTTATGATTTTGATATGATTGGATGAAATTATAGATCAATTTGAGAAGAAGTGACATGTTAATAATGTCAGTCTTCCTGACCTATGAACAAGGTATATCTTTCTAATTATTTAGGGCTTCTTTAGCTTCACTCAGCAATTTTTTTTTTTTAATTTTCAGAATTCAGGCATCTATTCTTCTGTGTTATTTACCTGTACCACATACTATTAAAGAAACTAAGGTGATGACACACAATATCAAAACCTTAAACATCTTTCTGTATTTCTCCAAAAATATATCTTTTGGGGGGTGTTTCTATTGTTTTAAAACTATTTCTGTCAATATGTCCTTGCCTAAAAGGAGTACACATTTTCTTATCCTTGATTCCTACAGCATTATACACACTATATCGTTGATTCCCACAGCATTATACACATTATATGTGTGTGTGTGTGTGTGTGTGTGTGTATTTCTAATTTATCTTTACATCACATAATTGATGAAGTTAAAGAATCTGGCAGTTGGGATCCCTGGGAGGCTCAGCAGTTTAGTGCCTGCCTTTGGCCCAGGGCAAAAGGCTCCCAGCATGGAGCCTGTTTCTCCCTCCTCCTGTCTCCCCCCCCCCCCCATGTCTATCATAAATAAATAAATAAATAAATAAATAAATAAATAAATAAATAAATAAAAGAATCTGGCAGTTAAAGTGTTTAACAACTTCTTCAGTTCACCTTTACTGCTAGTTGTCAACAAAGGCACGTGTAGAAATAGGATAACTATCTTTGAATTATGGGACCCTTGATTGTATTCTAGTAAATAAGTTTTGATTTTTCCTCTTTTTTTAAAGGACTGCGAAATAGGACTTCAAGCAATTTTCCAAGTACAAGCATTCATTATTTTAGAAAATATAACGAAATTTCTAAATATCATATCAGTACTTAGTTTCAAGTATAATCACCAGAAGGCGCAAGAGCTAAACATAAGTGGCTTTGTGGTTGAAAGCCTGTAGCACTCAGGCCCAGTGGGCTCTATTTGCATTTCATTCACAATATAATAGTGCACAGAAATGCATTTCTGTATCTGTTCTGCAGTTCAAGCAGCATAAAGTAAAAATTTTCTTCTCACTGGTTCCCAGAAGTTATCACACAAAAAGCCCATAAGAATTACCATGTTACTTATCAAAGGGCAAAGCCCATGATTATGGTCCTGTGGACAAGTAGCTGGTTTTAAATGCATCTTTGTGTATCATACTTCTAGTTTTATTACAATGTCAGTTCTTTTTCCCAAAGAAACAAGATAAATGGAACTGGCTAGTGGCTAATTAGTTTAAACTAGTTAAATAGTACACATTTCAACTGATTTTAACAAATATTCCTAACATTTGCCTCTTTCAGAAGTACAGTGTTAGCAATTAAGCAGAGTTGAATATTTCAGTGTGCCTGTAGTTGCAAATATGATGCCATTATGCAATTTGAAAAGATCAATTCTTCTCACCAGAAATGCTTTGTTTTATAAATTTCAAGGTAAATACCATTTTAGGCTGCAGAGTCTTCTGATTTTACAGGTAATATTGATTTCATTTCTAGGGCAGAAAGCGACTGTCCCTATGAGTTGACTAAGCTTTTTGTTGTCAAAGGTTATTACTATTTTTACACCACTCTGGTATGCCAGTAAATGTTTCTCACTTCATTATCATGCCCAGGCCTTTATAATATCGCTTAATACAGGATGAAAATATTTATTCACTTTTGGTTTGGATGTTTATGAGCATGAATGATTGTGGGGAATCAAATGTAGTTGTTACAAGGGTTTTCACTGATGAATAACAAAATCCCTCAGAGCTATGGGTACATGGATTTTTATAGGTGCATTTATTTGATTACCATCAGCCATTTGTAGTATGTTCCAGTTGCTCGCCATTAACTGACTTAAAAAAATAGTTATTAAGCCAAGATTTCTCAGACTTTCTGAGCAAGACTGACTTCTATTTAAATATAAATTCAAATTTATAAAGTATTTTAAAAATACTAAGTGATGTTTTCAGCATTCAGCTTATTTTGGAGTTAAGAATTGACTAACTTGGATGATTTGTTATGTTGCTTTTTTACCAAGTTAGAAATAAGTGTTTTAAATATATGGCAGAAAACCTACCTCAAAGGAACCTAAATGACCTATTATTAAAGAAACTTATTTTTAATAATTAGACACTGCTTTTGTTTACATGTATACTTCAGAGTGTCTCTGAAAAACTAAATTCCCACATTTTTAGCTTCCTAAAAACAGGGATGGACTTGTTCTAAACAGCTTTACTTGAGTTTATTTCTAAGTTGCTTTTAGGGCAAATGACTTGAATCACTGTGTTGTTCCAATTGATAGTATATGATGATTTAACCCTCAGAACTCCAGAGCTGTGTACTTTGGCTTTACTCCAAGTCACCATGAGATACACATAGGGTATACTTTGTCTTTGCTGAAATCAGGAAAACACTGCAATTTCAGAATATTTGATACCTGCTCCAAAATAATAAAGTGGCCTATCTGTTGCCTTCACTTGTGAGCCTATAAAGTGTTCCCCATGGCTCCTTTAAAACTAAATTGGGAAGGTGTCCTGTCCGTGGGTATTCATTTCTGAGAGTATTGATATTAACATGTGGATTCGTGTGCTGTTGTTACATTCATTTTAAAAGTAGATTTTCACAGGAAACTAGCAATGTTTCAATGTGAAATCTATTGCTAATTTCACAGATAATTCTTTCTTGTCTGTACTTTTTTTTTTTGAGCGTGCAAAATTGAAGACACAATTACTTATTTGTACTCAAAGTTACTAAGCAGAGTTTCAAGTCAAGAGCTTCCAGTGTTAAGCAGTCTCTTTTGT